CAAGCGGAGGGAGGGTGGGGTTTTAAAAGCAGAAACCAGCACTGTGAGCGTGTGTATTTTTCAGCGTTCTTACGCATAGGAAAATCTAAAAGTTTTAAGTATTTCCTATGCGCGGGAGAACATGTGAATACCAAAAATACCAAATATACCAAAGACCTGGAGGGAATACCAAAAATACCAAAGACCTGGAGGAAATACCACTCACATAGCCTATATGTCTCCAGAGGATTGGTATTTTTGTATTTTTGGGTAGGGCCAACTATTCCTCTACAGGATTTGTAGTTTTGGTATTTTTTGTTTTTCTGAGTTCATAAAACTGCATGCGTTCATAAAAACACTTTTTTGCGACATCAATTGTTTTTAATATATTTATGAGTTCAGGAAGTCAGAGAACTTAAGAAAATTAATGAACTCTTTTAAATTTAGTGAACTCATAAATTTCATAATGAACTATACTCCAACACAGAAGACTACCCAGAGCAGCTCATGGGAGACAAGTGAAAGATTTCTGACAAATGCATTTTAATTTTGCACGCAGTCAATAAGAGCAGCTCATGGAAGACAAGTTAAATATTTCAGACAGATGAATTTTAAAAAACACTCATGGGCAGTCAATACTATATTTAAAAGTAAAGCAAGGCAAAGTTGAGCATTCATTCATTGAAGACGCGCTGTAATAGAATAAAGCCCCATAGAATAGACCGCGTGGCAAAGCTTCTCTACTGGACACCCAAAAATAGCTGGAAACTGCACACGCTCCCAGCGCCGCCCTCTCTTTAAAAGAACAAGTCCAAACCAACGCCAAAGAAAAACAACCTTGGCGCAGGCTCACACTAGCGCCAAGGAAACCCTCTGACAACCGACTCAACTGGAGATGAATAATCACCGGTGAGGAAGGCGCTGGCCAGTTCACTCCCAATCAAATCACTAGCCGTTGCCTACAAATCCCCTTTCGTTGGACACCTGCGTCCACCCCATATCCCATGCCTTCTGGCGGCGCTGGCTCATAGCTGAAGATTGTGATTGAAGGAATGACTGCGTATGATGCGCAAGGCAATCATCATACTTTCACAAGTTTCAGGCATTAGCCATCTACTTCCTCTTTTCACCGAAGTGGTTCTCATCAACTCTGGTGATTCTTCCAGTTCTGGAATGACTGTGGGGTCCACAAATCTTTGAAGTCAATAGGCTTCCAACTAGCAGTCCATGTTCATAGAATCTCCATCCTGATTCTTTCTCAAGAGCTTCAGGTACTTGCACTTCCAAGATCTCCCAAGCAGTTCTCATCTTCATCTCGACTGACTCTAGCGCGGCCTTGAACTGTCAAAGAGCGATTCTGCAAGTGAAGCGGTACCTTCAAGTCACCATTCTCCAACATGTGCTCTCTGCCGTTGATTCCCCAACCATGCTCCATCAACCTTCCATAACAATGTATGGACTGATTTACCTTGGAACTGAAGATCACATTGTCTTTGAGAAGAACTTCTCGTCCATCAAGGTCGTGCCAGGAAATTTCGACGCTTGTCGCACCTCCTAATACGGTTTCCTTGCGCATCTTGTAGCTAGGTCTTTGCGCTGAAATGTAGGTCTCCTTCCCTATGATCTGCCACACAGGGAATCACGCTACATCTGCTCCACTATCAATAATGATGGCCGCATCCTCATTCTCTTCCCCATCATCTGAGATGTCAATCTCCTCAACCTCCTGGAATCCTGGCTCATCATCATCATCTCCAACGTAGAAGTGAATCACTCTAACTCCTTGATCTTCTAGATCCTCATCTCTCTCAAGTCAAAGATGATCGGCTCGCTATTCTCCTGACCACTGGTTTGGTCTCTGCTGAGCTACTCTGTTGGCTCACATTGGCATGCTGTTGACCCACTGTCAGATGCCCCGCCTGAAGATGAACGGGTCTGATCACTTACTACCTGTCGAATATTGTTCCTCCAGTCTTTAGTAAGATGTCCTTGCTTTCCACAAGTGTAACATGTTGCCACACCTTTACCTTTCTGGTCTTTGCCCTTACCTTTACCCTTGTAATCACCTTCTTTTCCTTTCTGATCTCCTTTTCCTTTCTTTCCTTTGCCCTTGGCATCTTTACCTTTGCCCTTTTGATAGTCATTCTTGCCCTTCTTACCTTTTCCTTTGGCATCTTGGACTCGATCAACGTCCACCACTCCAGCTGTTTGGGTTCCAAAGGCCCCAAATCTATGGCTCGATAACGCGCCCGGATCCCAGTGACCTAGGGGCTTTTCACTCGAGCTCCAGAGGGGTTACCTCCTTCTCAGCTCCGCTACCATACGCACTTTTTCCCCAAACAGTGTGGACACACTTAGGGGTTCTTACAGTAGGTGAAAAGCAGCTGATGCTTAGATCGCTGAAGCGCGCGGCCATGAACGGCTAATTCGCTGCTATTTGCAGTACATTCATGCCTCTCGACATCGTCCACGCGCGCTTCGACTGCGCAGGCTCGCAAAACCTGCCGCAGGCGCAAGGGGAACTTCGTGTTTTTGTGCTCCAAAGTCGACTTGCAAGGGATCGGAACTGTTTTACTTCGAAATGCAGCTTTCGTGGCAAGTGCAGCACTTTGGACATGGTGGTGATCGTCAAGGACCTCAGATTTCGTGACAGGTGCAGTGAATCGTGGCTTTTGGACATGTGGCTCGTTTGCAGATTTCGTGTCGCGCGCAGCATTGGTGAACCTCGATGTACAGATTTCGTGGCAGGCACAGCACTTGGTCTCTCTCACACTCACACTCCCTCACACTCTCACTCTCCCACTTTCACTCACTCACACTCTAACTCTCACGCACACTTACTCTCACCCACACTCACTCTCACTCACACT